GAAGCATTTCACCCAATACAATGTCGGTAAGTACTGATTTGTGTGTCTAGTGTGTAAATGAATAGTTTAGCCATATTTTGATATATATATGAAGGCGTTGTGAAGCATATTACGAGTGCACCATGCAAATGAAAAAAGTGCAACAAAATAGGACCAAGTACAGTCGTTCCTGCCCTTTTAGGTGCAGTTTTCAAGTTTCGGTATATAAATATTTCCATAAAATTTGGTAGTGTATATATGAATTCAGTAATGGTCTGGGTGTGTACAGAATGTTTTTATTGTCCTTCCAGATCAATAAGAAATTGTTCTACGGTGAGTCCTCCAAGGATAACTCGAAATTTGTCTGTGTTTGGGATGATAGTGACTCAGATCAAGACTCAGATGACCTGGATTTCCTGGATAGTGAGGATGAATTCTTGCCACCAGATGCAGAGGTGTCAACAGATGGGGAGGAGGAAGCTGGGCCACCACCAAAAAAACAAAAATTGAACAAGAGGAAGAAACGTATTACTATGGAGGAATACCCTGATGAAGAAGTGCTTCAAGATGATCTTGCTTCTCAAGGAGACACCAAATGGAAGAATGAGGACATCCACAATGACCCTTTGCCTAAATATCAACATATAAAGCCTGTTGAAGTTAGGTGTGCATATGATTATTTTACAGACTTTTTTACTCAAGACATGATAGACAACATTACATTTCAAACTAATTTGTATGCCAGGCAAAAAGACATACATACTACTTTTCAAACAGATTCTGAGGAAATGACTAGGTTTATAGGTATTCTGTTGCATATGGGTTACACTGTACAGCCATCCATTGAGGACTATTGGAGAAGTGCAAGTAGGATAACTCAAGTTGCAGAAGTCATGGGATCAAAGAGGTTTAGGTTGCTGAGGCGTACCATTCATTTCAATGATAACACACAAAAGAAGGATAATGACAGATTCTACAAAATAAGGCCTCTTTACAATGCACTAACTAAAGCTTGCTTGAAAGTTCCAGCTACACCCAAGCAGTCTGTTGATGAAGTTATGGTTGCTTTCAAGGGTAAAACAGCTGGAAACCTAAGGCAATACATCAAAAACAAACCAGACAAGTGGGTTTCAAACTCTTCTGTCGTGGCAGTGAAGATGGAATCATACATGATATACTGATGTATCAAGGTAACCCAACTTTTGAGAACCATCACATAAAGCTGTCAAATGAAGAAAGTAAACTCCCAATGAGTTCCAGGATTGTTCTTGTACTTGCAGCATCTCTTGACCAAAGAAAAACATCAGCAGTCTATGCTGATAATTTCTTTTCAAGTCTACCTTTGGTCAAGGTACTGAGAGACAAGTATAACTGCAGGTACACTGGAACAATACGTGATAATAGATGTGGTAAGCCACAACTGATGCCTGTGAAAGAAATGCAAAAGAGTAATGTGGCCAGGGGCTATTTTGATTTCCAAAGCAATGATCATATCCTTCTTGTAAGATGGAAGGACAACAAAGTTGTGACTCTAGTCACAAATGATGTCGGAGTTTATCCTTTGGGTCTTATTGAAAGATATGACAAGGCATCAAAGAAGAAAGACCACTTTGAGTGCCCAGGCATCATCAAGAACTACAACGCAAACATGGGAGGTATCGACAAAAGTAACATGTTGGTCCATCTTTACAAAACGCCAATGAAATCAAAGCGTTGGTACATGCGGCTCTTTGCTTATGTTTTGGATGTTGCTGTTGTGAATGCATGGCTTCTTTACTGTCGTGATTGTAGGTCACTAAACATGCCATGCACACCACTGAAGCTATTCAGGCTTGAGATCTCTGTCACTGCAAGATCCAAAGGACAAAAGGTCAACCGCACCAGCATGAGACGAAGTCGAGATTCACCCAGTACTTCTTTGGTTGACAGTAATGACGATTTGTCAAACGTGGAATACCCATCTGCATTTCAGTACCAACGTGCAGAAAGGCCAGATGACAGTGTGAGGCTGGATAAACAGCTAGGTCACTGGCCAGTGCTAGGTAAGCTGCTTTCATGCAAGTTTTGCAGCAAAAAGAATAATCATGTCACATCCTCATTTTGCTGTGCCATATGTAAAGTAAATCTGTGCATAAAGAAGGATAGAAATTGTTTCATGAAGTTTCATTTGCAAAATTAGTGATGTGAAATGATTGTTCTTTCTCAGGGAACTCAGGAATATTTCATTTGTAAGTTGCATCCCATTGCAATGTGTCATTGTTGATAAGTAGTTCCTATTTCTATTTTTTTACTGGTTACAAATTGTTCAGAAACAAGTTCCATTTATGTTTTTTATATTGTCTACTTGTATAATAAATTTAAAAAATATTTATTTCGTTTTTTTACAACAATTGCAGCATTGCAACATTCAAAAATGGTATACCCCAAACGGGCAGGACCGAATATACTCGGTCTTCGAATATCTGCAATTGCGCGAGATGTTACTTTCACAACTCTGTTTGGATGGTCTCAGTGACCTTACATTGAGTGGCTCTATCCCCTCATAGGAAATCACTTTCAAATTCACACTTTAGACTGCCTTGCCCTCTGAAGGGTTAGCTCTTCTGCGGTGCTCCTTTGTCTTGTCCTCTGACTTCCTCCACTGCTGCTGCTGCTACTGCCACCTCACTTCACTCTGCTGTCTGTTTCTTGTGCCATTACCACTATTTACCCTTCCTGCTACTACTTCCATTACCAGCATGACCTCTATCACTACTATCTCCACTTCCTTCTTTCTTCCTCCTCTCTTTAATCCCATGTCTGCCCTCCTTGTATATATACTGGCTTCCTTTCCTTAATGTGTTAGTGTGTGACTAGTTATCGTCCAGGTTGAACCAATATATCATCATGAGTTTTTCTCCTGTGTACTGGTTATTTGTATAAGGTCAGCATAATTTAAAGCTTTTATATAATTTTGGAAAAAATAATGTATATTTTTTCTTCCTACCATTTTCTTGGAGCCTCTTATTGAACCATGATACAGAAGATGTCTGTTTATTCATATAATGTTGTATGTAAATAGCCAGTAAGTTCCCTTTTATGGTAAGCAGTTGATTGTGAGGAACAAGTTTCACCCAGTGTAGAGCTTTACCCATTAAAGACTTGATAAAGCTTTTACTCTGTAGAGCTTTGTCTAAAGAAGACTTGAAAAAGCTTTCAGTGCATAGAACTTTGTCCTTTGAAGACTTGATAAAGCTTTCACTGTGCAGGGTGTCATCCAGTCATGACTGCATAAACTTTTAGCTTTATGTAGAGCCTTATCTAGTCATGACTTTATAATCCTGCCATTCTCTATAGAACTTTATCCAGTCATGATAATGCCCTGTACAAGAGGAAATATTGTCACACTAGAAGTTACTTCTACATCCAGTGTTGTCTTCAGTATTGTAGGCAGTGTGCCATGGTCATCCAGTCCAGTCCTTTCAGGGTCCAGACCCCTGATCTGAAACTTGTCTACAGGGTCCAAGAATTTTCAGACAAATTTTTTGTTATTTTTCTTATGAAATGGTAGATAATCTTTTTCTGGAGATAACAAAACAAAAAAGTACGACATTTGATGGAAAATTGACAAAATTACGCTCTCATGAATTTTGCTGCGTCAGTGATATTGCCCACTTTGACTCCCATTTTAGGCCAATTACATTATTCCAGTCGACCAGATTCTTAGTTATTTTGCTAGTATTACTTCTATTTTATCGATTGAGCACAAGAAATTGCCCAATCAACTATTTTAACTACCCAATAAAGTGATCGGAAATTGGTAATTTGGCCAATTTCACACAAAGTTCAAAATATTCCCATTTCAAAATAAGGTCCATAATAAACAATGCAGGCATTCCTGGAACTAAAATAACATTTCCTCTGTTTATTAGTTATGTTTCCAGGCTTTACAAATGAATTCCACTCTGTTTTTTTATTCACATAATGAATTTTTATTCACACCTTACAATAGAAGATTTACTGTTATGCAGTATTGTAATAATTGTATAAATAATATCAGCACATTTGACCCACCAGCTGACGTGGAGTGGACATGTGATGTGATTTGTTTACCCTTGGACATCGACAAAAATCAAACATTTCTACTAATCTGAGCTCAATTTCGATCTATTTTGAGTACTAAAACCAATCAAAATCATCTCTATTTCTGTAACGTATCTTCCATTGTATGAAATGAGACCAAAAAACGATGAATACAACCGTAAAAACCGTTCGAAAATACACCGGAAAGTAGCTGTTTTAATAAAAGTTTTTTTTTCTCATTATGCACTGTGCATAATGACACCACATAGATGCATTTTTTCATATCTAGGCCCAAATTTACCACTCACAGCTTATCTGAATGAGCTGAGCTCATGGTATAGAACTTTGGCTTGGACCCTGGCTTCAAAGTCGTAGAATTTATAGGACGGACCCTCAAAGGGTTAAGTATGTTTTAGTAGCAAGTCTTTCTAATAATGTTATTTTATGTACTGATTGATGTAAGTGTGTGACATATCATTTTTGTCTCATAGCTCTCATTTAGTGTTCCCAGTATGGGATCATCAAGGCTACTTTAGGTATGGCTGTTGCTCTTGGACTTGCCTGATAAATTGGTTGGCAAGATAAATACACTTTGCCTTGCTTTTGACTTGATAAATTAGTTGGGAAGATGCATATGCCTCACCTTTGTTTTTGTTTTTGTAATACATGTATGCTTTTCTTTACTTGATATATTAAAATACAGAAGTTCCTCGCTTTATGCTGTACATATTTTCCAGGCCCATGGCAGCTGCACTAAAGTCAGTCTTGCAATAAACACTTAATTTTGCATCATAAGTTTTTAATATGATTTGTAAACTGCATCAATCACATACAGTGAATGTATATTACATATACTGAATTACCAATAAAACTAAAGTAAATACGCATAAAGCGAGGGGAAGTCTGTATATTACTAAAAATTGTATTAATAAAGGACAATGTTATTTTGATCTCTCAAGGTTATGGGAAGTTTTGTGGACTGGTCATCCATGTCCAAACTTCCATCTGTTGGTGGCAGTTGCTCTTCTTGACACCGAGAAGAACACAATCATGGAGAACAAATTTGGATTTACTGAAATTTTAAAAGTTTGTATTTTTAATTTTTTAATACTAATTATTGTATATTGTATTTTTTTTTTTAACATGTCGGCCGTCTCCCACCAAGGCAGGGTGATCCAAAAAAGAGACAGTGAAACACTTTCACCACCATTTAACACAGTTCAGATGTCACTCCAAACAGCCAGTATCTCAGACCCCTTGTTTCCCACCTCCAGGACTCAATTAAGTCTGGCTAACTGGTTACCCTGACTCCCTTCATAAAATATTACCCTACTCACACTCCAGCAGTTCATTAAGTCCCAAAAAACATTTGTTTTTGCCTCTGTCTAACATGTTTACACATGCCTGGTGTATGTCCAAGCCCCTTTCACACAAAACCTCTTTTACCCCTTCCATCCTTTCCTAGGACAACCCCTACCCCTCTTTCCATCCAAGTTAGTCTTAAGTTTGCCTGAAATGCTCTGCATATAAAAGGGCTTTTGGCATGTGTTATGTTGTTGTCCCTTATTACTTTGATAGTAAGGTTCTCACTACATGTCCTAGTGTGGGGTAGCTTTTTACTTAAAGGCCTTATCTGTCTAGGGTAATACAGTAGGGCCCCACTTATACGGCAGGTTAGGTTCCAGGCTACCGCCATAAAGCGGAAATTGCCGTAAAGTGGAACACCCTTTTTTTCCACTTATAAATGCATACAAATACTAGATAACAAGTTTACACTAACATATATTAAGTTAGCAATTGAACTAGGCATCAAAAAACAAAAAAATGTACAATACACACATAGTACACTCATTACTTACCTTAAAATATTTATAGTCTTAATCTAGGGTGAGACAAGTAGTATTTATTGTAAGAAATCAAGTGTGGTATGTATGGTAGTCAGCCGGGCTACCATACCAGGCCACATAATATTCTATTACATTTAAGCATCCCAGAGCGATAAAATGCATATACAGTTTACTCATTACTTACCTTAAAATATTTGTAGTCTTAATCTAAGGTGAGATGAGTAGTATTTATTGTAAAAAATCAAGTGTGGTATGTATGGTAGTCAGCCAGGCTACCATACCAGGCCACCCCACCCACACATTTATTCTATGATATTTAAGCATCCCAGAGCAATAAAATGTATATACAGTTCACTCATTACTTACCTTAAAATATTTGTAGTCTTAATGTAGGGTCAGGAGTAAGTAAATGAGATAAAACGAATAAATGAGAGAGAAAGAATGAGTGCATGAGAGAGGACAGGCACAGAGTTACGTAAACAAACCAGGCGAAGGTAAGTTTTGTAAACAAAGTGTACATTTCTGGTTTGTGTACAAGTTACATTGTGTACAGGTTGTCTCTACATTGATACGGTAGAATAAATAAAGAAGAACACTCCAATTCTCATGTAACATCATTTTGAGAAGAAATGATGCTCTGAGTGAAGGCAATGGAAATATGTCACTCTGTCTGACTCTTTTGGGTTATCCCAGGTTCTCTACACATATGCTGTTATGTATGATAATCTACGTAACTGTATTTGTGTATACCTGAATAAACTTACATACATACAAAAGGAATAGTTTTCTACAGTTACCCCCAGTAACACATTTTCGCTTATGTTAGATTAGAGAAAATGTTATTCTTGGCATCACTTGTACAAGTTATCTGGCTACCACATCTCATATTTATGTTTATTTATTCTATTGTGGGGTGTATTTATCATCTTTATATGTTATGTATCATGTTTATTATATAATTTTGAAAAAAAATGTCATGGATGGATTAATGAAAATGTGTATATTAACGTAATATACGACATTTAATGAGACTCGGTGATTATTATTATTTCTAATATGGCGTCACTTGTACAAGTCGTCTGCTACCACATCTCATATTTTTTTTTTTTTCAACAAGTCGGCCGTCTCCCACCGAGGCAGGGTGACCCAAAAAAGAAAGAAAATCCCCAAAAAGAAAATACTTTCATCATCATTCAACACTTTCACCACACTCACACATTATCACTGCTTTTGCAGAGGTGTTCAGAATACAACAGTTCAGAAGCATATACGTATAAAGATACACAACATATCCCTCCAAAACTGCCAATATTCATATTTATGTTTATTTATTCTACTGTGGGGTGTATTTATCATATTTATATGTTATGCATCGTGTTTATTATATAATTTTGAAAAAATATCATAGATGGATTAATGAAAAAATGTATATCAACGTAATATACGACATTTAATGAGACTCGATGATTATTATTATCATTACTAATATGACATCTGGAGACATAAAACACTCTTACTGATTTTAATGTGTACCTGCCTGCCAGCACAGTATGTAAGTTTATTTAAGTACAGGTATACATAAGTATAATTATCAGAGTATATATAAAATATGAAATAACTTTTAAAAACACTTCAAATTTTGGAGTTTCCAGACATAATGGAGAAACCTAGTGCTTACGGATCTCACAGAGAATGTAAACAAACCGGGTGGGGCGCGGTGACCGTATTAGAAAGTCAGGTGGGAGAGCCGTACAGCGAGTTTTGGTCATAATTTAAAATGATCGTATTAGCGGAACGCCGTAAAGAGGGGCCCTACTGTACTTACATCCATGATTGATCATCCTCACCCTCTGAAATCCTTTCGCCAGCCCTCTTCACAAGTTATTTAAACTTTTTTTTTTTTTTCCCGACAAGTCGGCCGCCTCCCACCGAGGCAGGGTGACCCAAAAAAGAAAGAAAATCCCCAAAAAGAAAATACCTCCATCACCATTCAACACTTTCACCACACTCACACACCACTGCTTTTGCAGAGGTGCTCAGAATACAACAGTTCAGAAGCACACACATATAAAGATACACAACACATCCCTCCAAACTGCCAATATCCCAAACCCCTCCTTTAAAGTGCAGGCATTGTACTTCCCATTTCCAGGACTCAAGTCCGACTATATGAAAATAAACTACCTCTATAAAAAAAAATATAACTGTATTCTAAATAGATATGTACAAAATATACAATTACAGCACTCACATATTCAAAACATAAGCCTGCACACCCCTTAGCTGTTCTTCTAAGACAGCCCACATGGTGGATCTGGACAAATTGCCCTTCTTTCTTCTGGACTAATCTCTGGACTAACCAGTGTTTTGACACGCTTCAGTCACCCTGCATATGGTGGCCACAACTTAAGTTATAAAACTCACCCCTGGGGCACACATAATTCTCCCAAAAATAGAAAGAAGGACCCAGAGGTCCTACCAGCTTCAGGTCAACAAAAAAGAGGGAGAGGGAGGAGCCTAGCTAAGCTCCTCCCACACCCACCAAAAAACAAGAGTGTTGCCAAGCACAATTCTCTATTTACCACACCTTATTTACTTTCACAAAAAGAAATACAACTTTATAAACTACTTATTTAAATTGTGTGTTTGTGTGCCTATAGTATAACCTATTATACTGAGAAAAACAGGCTTGACTCAGCTGCCTTACAGCCATAAGAGTGATCTGCCCTTATGACATTTAGAGCTGAGTCCCCATCAATTCAATATAATTAGGTATTCCAGAGTAACTCTTACTTATAAATGCATGTTGGGTCCTATAGCCCCATAACACCCCCACCTCCAGACAAAGTCTCACAAAAGCTAGCCATGTCCCTCAGGATACGGCTAGTAATAAAAAAAAAAAATTTCTTTAGCCTGAAGGTAGTTAGCAAGACTACTAGAAATGTTACATATTTCCCAGCTCCATAACTGCTCTTCACTTTACTGTTATTTACAACAAGGTGACATACTACATGGCAATCTACAATTATTTGTGGCTCCACTGAACCTTCCCAGATTACACATGCACTTCCACCCCATACCATATAAAACCCAGAGAGGAACAATACTGGAACAGATTGCAGAGGTTTTTTAGAAAAGCATTTTAACCATACCCACATACTCAAAGGTGTAACTATTTACAATTTTAGTGGCTTTTAAAACAATACACATTACAATGCAAGAATTGCACACAATGCCCACTGTGAAAGCCTGCACCAACAGGCCTGTGCCTCTGCTGCGGTAATCCAGCAAGCAACTGGTACTCCAGTATGGCATCTTCCTGATCATGGACCGGGCCGCTGGGGCGTTGATCCCCGGAATAACCTCCAGGTAACCACCAGGTATGAGACAAGAGTAGAGCCAAACCCAGAGCAGTCAGGTGTACACCAGGCAGGAAACTTGACAAAACATGTCAAGGTGTCTCTCACTTGGTGGCCGAACCAAACAGTGAGACTTAGTCAACACTCACGATCCTTAACATGGTCAGGCACTCAAGCCCATCTTCCGAGATCCCACTCCACACAGATCCTCCAACCTTATGAAGAGGAGGCTGACACAGAACATGGAGGGGTCCAAGAGACCACAAAGTCAAATCATCGGGATCATCGGGCCGTTTCGTACATAGAGCACACCAAGACAATATACCACATACCTTCCTGAACGTCTCTTGTTATCAAAGGTTGTCAACCTCTGCCTCAAGTCACAAATACGTACATATACACCGACCCTCGTCACACTTTTGGCTCTGACTCATCTCCTTCACAGTCAGATGGTTGGTAGGGAGTCCTCAGGCTCGCCGAGAGTTCACCACTGCAAAAACAACAAGGTCAGCACAAGACAAACACTATGTACAAAGTATGCACCATGCATCTGCATGAAACATCTAGAGAGAGCATCAGCAACCACATTCTCTGAGCCTTTTATATATTTGACTTCCAAATTAAAAGGCTGTAGGAACAAAGCCCATTTTAAGAGTCTGATTTTAGTCACTATACACATGAACAGAATGAAGAGATCCTGAGACATATACAAATGCTGAATAGCCAGCCCCAAAATAAAAATTTTCTTTCCTGTGGTAAGATGTTGACATTTAAACTTAGAAGGTTGTTCGTAGATAGTAACAGTTCTGCAACCTCTTGCGGTACAAAAACAAACACCAAAGACATCTCTTTGCACCCAGGTTGGGTACATCAAGTTTAC